TGATTGGCACTTTTGCCAAAATCATGAAATTATTTTGTAAGTTTTAAGTGAAAATACGATGCAACTTGTTTTTGCAAACACGTTTGTTGATTTTATTTATTTATTTTGTTTCCAGCTCATGACATGACAGCAGATTTTTCTGACATCAGCAACATTCTGACTGAGCAGAACAGCAACAAGTTTCCCTCCGTGAACGCTAACTTCACTGCTAACTTCACTGATAACTTCACTGATAACTTCACTGATAACTTCACTGAAACGGATCCTCCACGAGCTGAAAAGACTTTAAGGTTTGTCAAAACTTTAAAAAACTTTTCCCTTTTGAATTGTAGAGTATAACTACGTAATAACTTTCCTTTCTGGTCTAAACAAATATATATATCTAAATGAAGACTTTTATTAAAATTTATTAAGTACTCTATCATTTGTGTGCGCTAAAAACAACAATGTAAAAGAAACAAAACTTTGATTTTGTTTTTTCTCCTTACAGGGAGATTTTGGTCCTAAGGAACAGCAGAGATCAGTTGTTGCCATTATTCCAGGGGCTGCAGAAGAAAAGAAGACCAGGTCCAGTACTGATCGACGTTTAGATGTCGTGTTCAGAATGATACTATTAACTAACGACAAATAACGTAGCTTATTAGCACGTTGTTGCATAAAAGCCTAAAGATAAAATGTACACTTTCAACCGTTGTGATTTATAAAGGAACAATTTTACCGGTTGGACTCTGTGTTTTTTCTTTCTTTCTTGTTAAAACTCTGACATGATAAACAAACGTTGGAGGATGGTTTTTGTGCGAAGGATCTGTTTAGCATGATAAGTTCTGATTGTGTCTTAATGTGACTTTTACTGCCTGACTTTATGGAACTCCAGTTGTGTCCAGTAACAGCGGCTCAAGCTCTATCTTGGTAAAATTATATTTCTACATGTCCAATTATTTACTATCATTTGTAATAAAGTGATGCCGACACCATGGATTCAACAGTGAGGAGCTTGTTCTAGTCATCTTAAAGATGGAAAGAGTCAGTCTCCAACCGGCACTCACTGAGAGTGTCTGTAATCAGAACTGTGACGATGATGATGATGATGATAATAATAATGGAGGAACTGGGTTCCTGTCTAAGAAAGAAATTCAAATAATTCTGAGTATCTGAATGATTAACCGAATGACTTTTTATTCATTTCAAAGTTCAGTCGGTGAGGTTATTCATTTTGTGGTGTTCCTACTCTATGAAAGCAACAAAGAAGAAAGGTAGCAATCGTACATGTTGGTTCCACAGGCTTTCCCTGAAAATATGGATAAAATCGGTCATGATAGGATAACAGTAATTTGAAGAGGAAGAAGCATATAAACAAGTCAAGTCAATGACAAGTCAATGACATGATGCAATCTGCAATTTTTTTTTAAAACTCCGATTACTTAACTTTTATGCTTGTTTGTTTGTTTTTTACTGACTTAAATAATACATTTAAATTGCTGCGCTGTTTGATAAGTAGAATGGAAAATTACTTTTGGGTTTTTTTGTAAACTGTCTTTAGATTACCTATCGTAAAATTTGCATTTTAAAATCAACTGAATTAAATTAAGAAAGGTTACAATTTGTACAACTGAAGAGAAATGATGAGCAATGTTTTATGTGTTGATGAAAGCAGAGATTGGTGTTTTTCTCTGTAACATCAAAATTTACACTTTACAAAATTTACTGTGCATTTTCCCATATACCATTGCCTGGTGTCTGAGCTGGCAAAGGTCATCCCTTGCAATATTAAGAAGCTGTTGTCAAAAATTACGATCTTAATTTTTATTTACGAAGCAAAAGATATGAGTCACACTATCTTTACAACATAATTTACAGTATACAAAGTCTAAAAAGTCTAAAACAGAAGGATTTTATACCCTTGCTAATTCATCAGTTCGATTTCAGAAAGGAATCAATGACATTTTTTTTATAACAGAAACATAAAATGTACTCATTTTACATCTTTAAGATGACTATAACAAGACTCACTGTGTACACTGAGGGCGATGAGTTCGGTCAAAAGGAAAACGTTCAGGATTCCCAAAGATACGGCCACACCGAGGCAGAGCCTCTCTTTGGAGCTGCTGCTACCTGAACAGAAACCTGAACAGAAACCTGAGCCTTAGCAAAATGTAATTAAATTAAATACATACTATATTTCTCTGTAACTTTGTTCTTACCTGTGGGATGAGATGCACTTTGTTCAACAGGTTCCATATTGACGTAAATTTCCTCCATCGCTTCAAAACTCTGTACTGGGTTTTTTTTTTTTTTTGAAACATTGACTATAAGTAGTGGAACAAAGTGTAAAAAACTGTGGGAAAGAGGTGAGATGTCTGGGGTTCAACATAAAAACGTATTTTAGAGATAACAACCAGATAAAGAAATTCATGAGTATGGAATCAGGATTATTTTTCTTAAATATCTTACGCCACATAAAATTCTTGAAGGTTTCAATAATTTCCTAGGTTCATATTTGCTGAGTCAATTCTGTATCGCTGAATATTTATTTCTCCTTTTTTCTTTGTTTTCCCTTCAGCTCGGTTAATCCTACTCATAATAAACACATTACAATTTTCTTTGGGTGACAAAAATAATTGACTTTTACATTCACGCACAACTTTGCGGTCGACCACATGGTACTGCATGGCACCGCATGGTATCAAAAATTTAAAAAATGTTTTAAATCACTGATATAAGAGTAAAAACAATAATAATAATCTGATGTTGAGATATTTCTGCTCTTTGTATCCAAAATGATTTCCTTGAAGGCTAATACATTGTTGGAGCAGATAACCGGTTCCCTCCTCTGTCATATTAAGATCATAATTGTGTCATATGGATCCAACAGTTTTTTTACAGGTCTCAGTCTGTCCTGATAACTAGACATAGTCTTGCTCTCAGTAAATACCACTGTCATCTTTTAACCTTGTTTCTTGTCCAGTAGCAGAAACACTTACATTAAGAAGCCACAGTCCTTGAGTTGCATTCCAAATGACCAAACTTGTATCACCCATGAATCAAATAATTAAGGAATTGAACATATTTGTTCATATTTTTAAAGGTATGTAGTTTTAGGACCGCTATCTACTAAAAAAAAAGCTGCATAATTGGCTAGTTGGCTGTAAACCTCAGTCACCATGTTTCCTCATCTTCTGAAACAACCACCAGGCAGAGAGCAAACAGATTGACAATCAATTTGCTTTGTGAAGCACCGCCTCACTGGGAGGGAATCAAAAGGCTAAAGTGCCAATCAGGTGCAAGTTGGGCGGTTTAAAGTAAGAGAAACCAGATACTGCCTTCAGAGCATGCTGAAGATCAACAAGCAAGCAAAACATTCACAAAATGGATGTAGAATATCGGAGTTCTGGAATAGAATTGGAGTACAGGATAGAAGAGTTGACTGAATAAAGACGTTGCACAGAAATTCAGACTGGGAAGCTAACTGGCAAATTGCTAGCTAAGTATGTAGAGCAGGAAAATAGGTTGGATTTACTTAAATTTATGCAAACCAATTGCCTCAAAAGATTCAATTACTGCAACATATAAAATACAAGTGTAGTTACACTGTGTAATTTTGGCAAAGAATATTCTTAAACTCATCCAGAATATTATTCTCTGCAAAACTTCTTTATTTTCTACCTACAGCAGCAGCAGCACCAGCAGCAATATATTTGCTACATACAATAAAGATACACGGTCTCATTTTTTATTTATTTTTTGACATAGTTGTCCTGTTCAAAACCTTGTGGTTTGCTTGAGCAGAAATGGTGTGGTGTCTGCTGGGCATGTTAAAACGTTAAACATTTAGCACACAAAATCCTCACTACTTTCATATAGTTCACTTTTTATTTTATTTTTTTTGTTGTTGCGTGGACTCAATTTAAATAGATTAACTGATAAAGCTTTTTTTTTATTGTTTCTGTGTTTTATCCAAAGATTCCTGCCAATGGTTTAAGATGAGTATAAACAACTAGTTGATGGTAATTAAGTGATGTTCACTCGGACAATTTTTTAAAAAGTCTGATGTTTTATTTTACACCGAGAGCGGCCAAAGTCCAGGTTCAGCAGAAGGCTGAAGGCATCTGATTCAGGCTTCAAACTAAGTACCCGTTTGCTTTACTGCAGAGCTTTGGTAAGGTTAAATTTAGTGGGCTAAAGAAAATCAGACAGTTGATTCTCCAATGTGAGAAATCCCTTGAGGTAGTCAAGTTTCTTGTTTGTTCAAATTTTGTTAGTCATTTACATAGTATGATGACTAATTAACAGTTGATTTATTAAGTGATCTTCACTTAATAAATACAATGTAATCTTTCAATTCATAGTTGAAGTTCTATTATCGGAATTCTGAAAATTAAATATTTCGTCGTATATTTCAATAATTCCTTTCATTCAGTCTAAGCTCCCTGAAAAGGAGAAATTACCTTTCAGATCAATATATTTTTGATTGCTTTGAGTATCATGATATTTTTACTTCATCTGGCTGATATGATCTTCTTTAACACATGCTGATGGTTCATATTGTTCGTTAATAAGCTTATCATTTACAAGAGGTGAACATTAGTGAACATTAGTGAACAGATAGCATCATGAGAAGCAAGGAACAAAAGCTGTAGATAATTTTAACGGTAAAAAAAAAAAACAATCACCATGTTGTGACCAACTCTGGGAGAAGGGCTGTGTAGTGAGTATGTTTTTTTTTAATATTTGTTTTTAGGTAAAGTGCACCATTAGCAAACTTAGTTAATGTTATTATAAGTTGGGCTAGTTGTCAGAAGATGTGAGAGGGGTTATTTTTTTAAAAAAAGAAAAAAAATCACTGATTGAATGGTTGGTTGATAGCCAGCATATATTTGAAGTTGTGCAACAGAAACCAAAATAAAAAAATTATATGAAACCTGAATGGCCATTCAGTTTGATAAATATTTACGCAGACCATCATTCAATAAATTGATAAAAATCCAAGTGCACGCATCAACTCTAAATAATAGGAATTGTATTCACTATCTGAATACAGACTGAAAGTTTACATTGATCATTTATAAGCTTCAGTAACGGAAAATTCAACAACTATATTTCGTTATTGAACACACTCAAGTGTGTAAAATGATGGATGGAGGAAAAAAAGCATCATTTGGGCCGAGAAACATACAGCATATAAGTTAGAGACAAAAGTAGTGGATAATGATAAAGGTAACAAAATAATTTACCATGTCGGAGCGTAGTTGCGCAGTGTTAAGAAAAAATAAAGAAAGAAAGAGAGAAAAAAAAACTTTAAACTCTGGGGAAAGCTAAAACTTAAATATGAGTAGTCTCAGTAAGGTCTGTTTAATAAGTGTCACATATTCTTAAGAAATAAATTTACAAATGAGAAACTTTTACTGACATGTTTCACACTAGCGAGTGTTACAGAGAAAAATGTATGAGTTTCAAATGTGTTTATACCGGCTGTTAGGTATTTTCCTCGAACCTACAATAAAATAACCACAGACAACGTATATGAATTAAATATGGTCAGGCTTCTGCAGAAGGAGAAATCCCGATCAACAGCTCCTCCGAGCTGGTCAAAGAGAGTTCTGATCTGCTTTCACGTGAGCTCCCTCTTTATTGTCAAAGCATCAAACAACAGAGGTCGTAAAACATTTAACACAAACAGACCAACAACTCAGTTCCAGGTGTGATATCTAATTTACAATCTGAGCCCAGTTCAGCTCTGGGTCAAACTGTCACCTAAGACCGGGTAGATAAACACCAGAGAAAACTTTAGGGTCTGAGAACCATAAAGTTTTACTATCTCGCATGAAGACAGTTGTAACCTCCAGGTCAGTTTATACTAAAATCACAATAATACTTTAGACTGAATATAAACTAAAGTAACAACAAAATGATAATGTTAAAAAATATCTAACATTCCCCCCTTTTTATCATTTTACTATGTGTATAAACTGCTATGCAGAAGCCAAATATAGAAAAGAAAATAAAAGAAAATAATAAAAACTAATCTAAACACAGAGAATACATAATGAATAAAAGTTATATAATGAAATACATGAAAAAACAAAAGAATAAACAGTAAAAAATCAAATGCAGTTTTCTCATCCTAAACATCACTTGTTCCCACATTTTCGGTGTTGGAGTCATTCAGCAAATGAATTTATCTGTTTATTGATTACAGAAATTCATCATTGTTCAGAAAATCGTCAGAAACTTGGAACAAGTCATCTTCAGTTGTTTCATAAGATGCCTTTGTCAGCTGATAGTTGATAACAGTCGTGTTAATTGTTTTAAATATCATATTCCGTAGACAAGGAATAATGCAACCCGTAAAAAGACAGAATAGAATTAACACAATCAGAATAGGTGTCACAAGCTTTAACAGCAAGGACCACCAGGGTCCAGAAGTGCGCCAAAAGAGGATGAGCCGCGTGTTCCACTTTCAACATACTGTTTTAAATCTTCCAGCACGTTGGGCCAATGATTTTGCAGACCCCTCCCTGAGGGGCAGTGAGACAGTCCAGGACAACACGGTTTTGCATAACCATGTTTCTCAGTTCAGTCAGTTCTTTCATGGTGCCATTGGCCAGCTGGTATGTGATGTTGATCAGTCGTAATAATCCGTACCTGTTTATCTCAAACATGGTATCAAATCTCTCCTAGACCAACCCACGGAAAAAGAACCTTTCTCCGCCGTTCCAAATCCTGAATTCCCATGGAACTCCAGTATGTGTTGTTAGGCCTCCCCATCTTTTGACCTCTGGCATAGCTGTTCGCTTGGAGCGGGTGTGTAGATCATTTTGTGCTTTCCAGTCTGCTAATATCTGAGAGCCATAATCTCCTGGCACTATGGCGCTGCACAGTGTTGTCATTTGTCTCCTCTTAGTCTTATGCGTGATGTTGAAACTCCTCTGAAGCAGGTTGTGACAATCTGGGTTTTCCTTCCAGACTTTGCAGTGTGGAGTCGCCCTTTGACCCCTGCAGGCTGTGCAGTCGATGAAATCCTGTGTCGGTTCGCAGTAGGTGTAAACTCTGTTACACAAGTGCCAGGGCAACATCCCTAGAACAACATGTCCATTATTATACACACAGATCCTCAGAGATCCTGGTTTGGCTCCTGCCAACGAAATGATCTCTGGTATTTTCCATACAGTTTGTTGAGATGACGAAAAGGAAGTACATCGTCTGCCAGTGAACAATTTAAAAATTGAAACAGTCCTTGCACTGCCTCTCCCATCCGGAGGTCAGCTGAATAGTCCTTCTCACGTGGTCTGTCTCCCCTTGGTGGTGGGATGCGCCGCGGTCTAGTGCTTAGAACATAGAGACACATCTGTTTGTCGTCAGCAATGTTACCTGGTCGGAGACCTGAGTTGTGTATGGAAACCGGCAGTTGCGCACACACATAGCAGTTCACAGCATGTCCCTCATAAGCAGTTCTGTTCATCAGTTTCCACCAAGATTGGTACTGTAGTCATGTGACTGGAACTCAGGCTCGCTTCCTTCACCAAACATCAAACATACAACAGTCACAGCGCAGCAGAAAATCCATCTGTCATATGGAGTCCCCATTGCTGCTTGACGTACAGAGATGTCAGAACCCCCAAACTAAAGGAGTGAGAATCTTAGCGTTTCTTCACCGGGTTTGAGACGAACTACAACTATAATGTAGCTCCCCTTTGTAGCCCGGAAGCTCTCAAAAGAGCTCTCCTTCCTCTCTACTCCAAATTTAGGGGTTTAACACTCTCTGCAGCTTACAGTGACTGAGATGTATCCAGCTGGGTCTTTCAGCAATCTTTACAGCTGTTGGTGTGGTCATCAGCACTTGAACGGTCCTTCCCACTGTGGACTCGCCCAGTTTCTTTCGTTTGATGACTTTTATGTAGACCCAGTCACCTGGCTCGATCAGAGCGGCCTCCTGTGCAGGGAGAGAATCAAAAGGCAGTAAATTTGCACTGGACACCTCCTTCAGTTTAAGGGTCCTGATCATATAATCTGCTAATGTCTGTTCTTCATCAGCTTTTTGTAAGTCTGGAGCAAACAGAGGCAATCTGTAAGCTCTCCCATGAATTATTTCGAAAGGTGTTAGACCATCAGCTGTCGGGGTGATCCTCATATTAAGTTTCACCAAATCTAACCATTCTGGCCAGGGCCGGCTAGTGTCTGCCGTGCATTTTCTTAATCTGCTTTTCACAGTACTATTCGTTCTATAAACAGTTTGCGCGATGCCATGTGTTGGGATAATAGTTTTACAAATAGCCTTAGCTACTGTCAAAGCATCTGCATGCTTTGCTAGAACTATTTCAACCCATTTAGAAAAAGCATCAATCATCACTAGACAATATTTATATGGCCCACTTTGTGAAAGTTCAATAAAATCCATATGCATGGTTTGACATGGATAAGATGGTTTTGGGAACCTGCCTCGTTTGGGCCTTATGTTTCCCTGAGACTTATGTCTAGCACATATTAGACATGCCCTACAAAAATTTTTTGAATAGGAATTTAAAGCCATAAAGCCATATGTTATTCCTACCATCCCCCCTGTTGAGACATGAGATTCACCATGGCTCAATATTGCTGCTGCTTTAAATAAAGATTTAGGAAAAACTGGTTTGTTTTTAAGTGTACCTTTTGGCTCTACATCAAAGAGAACTCTGTACGACGTTCTCCAGAGCTCTGAGCTTAGCCTTCACAGCCAGCCTGTCTTTCGGGGGTAGGGCAGAAAGTCAGTTGCCATTCTGCTGCTTTAAGTGGGGGAATGAATCCCTCCATTGTATGTTATCAGCTTTAAATAAACATACATGTGGAACCTCTAAAAGGCAGTCAAAAGCACAGATGTTGGTGCAAATGAGTTTCCATCTATTTATGTAGAAGTCCTCAGATTTATGTCAATTTATTCGCTTGTTTATACTTCTACTTTTATCTCAGCATCATTTTATCAGATCTTGCAGTGAAAACCAAAAACAAAACAAAAAAGATATGTTAATGTAGGATAAATCACTTTTGATGCAAATCAAACAGTGAATTTCAGTGGTGTATTAACAGCCCAGTCTAAATTACCTTTATAGCATTTACTAAAGTATTTTATTAGGGGATATTCTTTGTTGACTTAATAATTCCTGTATGTTAACAGGTCAATAAGCAACACAGGCTCACTTTATAGTTTAAAGAACATCATAATTAGTTTCTTTCAGTTGTGAAATGTTTAAAACTTCGCTTATCTTTTTTATTACACCTAAATCATTTGCTTTCCCAAACACAGAAACAAAAAACATTAAGAGCTGTAATGTCTTTTGGAGAATCCAATAAATGAACTTTGTGGCCAGTTTGCATCTTAACTCCTTAAGAGGGGCCTTTGTTTCAAAGAAAAGTCATTAAGGTTTCTCAACAGATCCACTCCCTGAATTTAGAAACTAAAGCTGCATCTAAACCTGCCTTATGTGAGAATAAGCAACATCACTATATCCTATAACCTTTGGTTTCGAACAAAACTATAAGATTGAAAAACAAGTTCTATTCCTTACGGAAAAAGGTTATTTAAATCCTTTGCAGTTTTAGTTTTCACAATTTACATTTAAGGTTATTCCATTAGTCTGAGTAATCTCTATTGTCAGACCACAAGACAAATCCACACCTCCACCTCATGAATTTTCCTTCACCTCTTGGAGGGGGTGATTTTATGGCAGGAAAGAGAGCTAATAAGGATTTCTGGAGAAACTCCTAATTGTTCTGTTTTCCAACTGTCAAGGATGAAAACCTTACACATGTGGAGACTGATCTGTTGCTCCATTAGGGTTGTACCACAGAATATGTTTTTATTTCACCTAATTTTAAAATTTGGGAGTCTTCTATTGCTTATTTCTAAATTTGTTATTCTCCTTAACATAGACTAGTGTTGTGATGAGGTTTCATTGTCAAGGTGTGTGGTGGTGGAGGTGGTGAGGCAGGCGCTGGAGATCCAGGTAAGGTGAATAATGAAATTTAATGAAGAATATCAGTTCAAAAAAACACAGTCAATAAAGTTGTCCGCGGCTAGGCAGCACGGCTGAGCGGAAGCCAGGGCTCACACCGGTAGCATCTAGTCATGCAGGCGGCAAACAAAGACAAAAGAACGACGATTGACAATATGACAAACAACGACAAGGACCCGACGAGGAACAGAGGACACAGGAGGGACTAAATACACAGAGGGTAATCAAGGGAATAAGACACACCTGGGAACAATCAAGGGGAAGACAGGACAACGAGGAGACTCAGGACACAGAAACTCAGAATTAAACACAGAAAAACACAGAACCTGACATTCATATGGTGGTCAATTGGATCTAGTGGGGGTAGAAGTTGCAGAGCTGCTGCTGTAAAAGGATTGCAACTCCTCCCTGCAGCTTCATTATGCTCTAGTCTAAATAAACATACTTGTTGCTTTTTCTGTTTTGTTCTGATTATTTCTTATGTTTATTTTCTTATTTTATTTGCAACCCTCTCTTCTTTCTGTAGTTGCTTTTAATCATCTCTTTTATTTAAGTTTAGTACCGATTCTCTACAAGGTGTCCCACATGCACCATAGTCAAACAAGAGAGTCATCTTTTTGCTTTACTCAAATTGTTTAGCAAATTATACTTAATTTTATTAAATTTTACTGAAGCTTCAGAAACTTTCCAATATTTTTGGTTAATTTTTCATGTTTTAATTTATTTATTTTCTTCCTTTAAACAGTGTTCTTCAGGATCCTGTTTTAAATAATGTGCACATTTAAAAAGAGATATCTCAAACTTATGTTAGGCTCTAACAACCAATAGTTTCCTGATGTCTGGTACCACTTTTCGAACTAGCGCTTGTTTCCAGTTTACACACCACGTTTTTCAATTGTTTTACTTTCAACACGCCATCTATACCATATTTCTTCTATTTAGTCCAGTACTTGGTTGATTCCTGCTCTTTCTCGGTTTGTATTCCGGCAATCCGCTGCTGGCAGAAGGAGGTGACCTAAAACGCTGGCCCAGCGAGGAAGTTACCCCCCGGGACTTTTCAAAACAGGTCCGCAGAACCTGACTACCGGTAGATTTCAGCGCGTCATACTCCTTCCGTCAGCGGCGTGTGTGTAAGGAATCCCGGACGAGCCTCCAATTTTTTTCCATTGATCAATTTTTTAGCTTCCCATCTATTTTATATTTCTTTTTCCATTTTTTTATTTTTATTTATGTATACCATGCTACCAGGAAATCTGGACAGCATGTATTTCTCATCCCCATCGGGGCCCTCAACGAGTGAGGAATTACACGAATTTGCATTTTCCATTATTCAAATCACTTGCAGTTTTGGCTTCAAAATTTTTTATTTATTTAAATTTAGTCCAGGTTCGTTGACTCCTAGGGAGTCCTATGAACTGGAGATCTTTTCAGTAGGCCAGCAATTAAAAATACCTTGTTGTGGTATTCTCCACTTCAACTCTTTCGAGTGGGAGAATCTTGCCTCTGCATCCACAAGAGGTTTGCTGCTTACCCCCTACTGTTTTATATGAGGTAAAATACAGAGCCGTATTTAAACCTCCACACAGTCTTTCACGCATACGCACACATCAACAAAGCAGCATGCACCAGCAATGACATATAGTAATAACAAGACAGCAAAATTCAACATCCCATCTGCATGAGGATTTACCCTTATGGGGTTTCCTCGAAAAGAGAAAGGTTCTAACAACACCTGTCCTTTCCAGCGTATATTTTTAGTTAAAACGCTGTTCAACCAGGATTCTCAAACCTCAGAGTTTTAGTCAAAACGCCATTTGACAATTCTCAAACCTCAGAGCTTTAGTTAAAACCATCGTTTAACAAGGATACTCCCCTCCCAGAGTTTTAGTTAAAAACATCGTTTAACAAGGATACTCCCCTCCCAGAGTTTTAGTCAAAACGCCATTTGACAAGGATTCTCAAACCTCAGAGCTTTAGTTAAAAACATCGTTTAACAAGGATACTCCCCTCCCAGAGTTTTAGTCAAAACGCCATTTGACAAGGATTCTCAAACCTCAGAGCTTTAGTTAAAAAAATCGTTTAACAAGGATACTCCCCTCCCAGAGTTTTAGTCAAAACGCCATTTGACAAGGATTCTCAAACCTCAGAGCTTTAGTTAAAAACATCGTTTAACAAGGATACTCCCCTCCCAGAGTTTTAGTCAAAACGCCATTTGACAAGGATTCTCAAACCTCAGAGCTTTAGTTAAAACCATCGTTTAACAAGGATACTCCCCTCCCAGAGTTTTAGTCAAAACGCCGTTTGACAAGGATTCTCAAACCTTAAAAAAAAAAAAAAAAATAATAAATAACCATTTAATTCACCTACGTTTCCGTAGTTCTCAAGTTGTCCAGTCGGATCTCGTCACTCCGCCGTTGACAGACAAAGTCGGACATGTGTCGCTGGCCCAGCGAAGAATTTGCTTCCTGGGTCTTTCTTTCCAGGTCTCCAATTGACTCTGGCCGTGCACGGATTCAGCGCGTCTTCCTCTGCCTGACAGCGGGGGGTTGAGAGATCCCGGGTTTCGGCACCAATAAATGTTAGGTATTTTCCTCGAACCTACAATAAAATAACCACAGACAACGTATATGAATTAAATATGGTCAGGCTTCTGCAGAAGGAGAAATCCCGATCAACAGCTCCTCCAAGCTCTTCAATAGAGAGTTCTGATCTGCTTTCACGTGAGCTCCCTCTTATTGTCAAAGCATCAAACAACAGAGGTCGTAAAACATTTAACACAAACAGACCAACAACTCAGTTCCAGGTGTGATATCTAATTTACAATCTGAGCCCAGTTCAGCTCTGGGTCAAACTGTCACCTAAGACGGGTAGATAAACACCAGAGAAAACTTTAGGGTCTGAGAACCATAAAGTTTTACTATCTCGCATGAAGACAGTTTGTAACCTCCAGGTCAGTTTATACTAAAATCACAATAATACTTTAGACTGAATATAAACTAAAGTAACAACAAAATGATAATGTTAAAAAATATCTAACACCGGCGTTTACTATTTTGGAGAAAGCATGAAGCTCTGGGAAGATCAGTGTTGATTCAGCAGCAGGAAAAAAATTGAACCAAAGTAGCATTTACAATGATGCGAGGATAAATTTTGGAAAATTCTGGACAAATTCTTTAACCAAGGAAAGTTAAAAGTTTAATTTGAATAACCTCCCGTTGGCCTGCTTACAAACAGTCACATATTCTTAAGAAGTACATGTACAAATGAGAAACATTTACTGAAATGTATCACACTAGTGAGTGTTACAGAAAAATCTATGAGTTTCAAATGTGTTTAAACCGGCATTTACTATTTTGGAGAAAGCATGAAAGAAATCACAAACTTGTAGTCAGTACTAACTAGTCATGCTACCATAAATAATGTAGTTAAATAGCAGGTTTTCTTTAGACGTATGTATTTGCAGGGGGCAGGGGCTTTTTTTTTCCCTCACTACTGCCCCAGACACACAACAAGGCAATTAGCACTCCCCCCTCTGCATTGACCCGCTGCGGCGCAGCTGAGGAGCTTTACTTGTGAAAAATCAGAAGCCTGTTGTAATATCGTAGACAGGAGGAGAGCGGGTGTTTCTAAACATTTCTTCTGTCTTAAAAAAATAAACAGAGAGAAAAACAGAGAAACCAGATGTGGTCTGGTTTGCCCTCATGAACCACCAGGGTTCATGAGGGCCTTGCTCTGAATTCCCCCGAGGTGGCTAATTTGTCATTCTGTATCGCTCTGAATTCCCCCGAGGTGGCTAATTTATCATTCTGTCTGCATCCTGCAAGTTTGCAAGTATGCAACTAGTACATTCCTTCTCTCGCAGGCCCTGCGTATCGCAGCTCAGACCTCCAGTTGTAGGCCTGGCTGAACACAGACACAGAATCAGAAGCAACATCTCCGGCATCTATTTCAACTTCACTAGGTTTAGTATATAATTATATACATTTTACTTGATTAAATAACTGTTGTTGGTGCTGTATTACTCTTAAAAAGAAAGTCAGATAACGGCATTTTCTGAATTCAGCAGAGAGAAAACAGAAAAACCTAAACACAGACCATATGTCACTGAGAACGACCCCCGAAGGGATTTCACAGGCCGTACCTATATTGATCAAGCCCCCAGCTCAGACCCCAGTCGTAGGCCAGGCACAGAATCAGAAGTAACATCTCCATTCCAAATCTATTTAAACTTCAGTAGGCATAGTATATAATTATATACATTTTTTGATTAAATAACTGTTGTTGTATTGGTATTATTACTCTTTAAAAAAGAAAAAATCAAGAGAAGGAGGAGGAGGAGGAAGACGAGGAGGAGGAGGAGGAGGAGGAGGAGGAGGAGGAGGAGGAGGAGGAGGAGGACGAGGAGGACGAGGAGGAGGAGGACGAGGAGGAGGAGGAGGAGGACGAGGAGGACGAGGAGGAGGAGGACGAGGAGGAGGAGGAGGAGGAGGAGGAGGAGGAGGAGGAGGAGGAGGAGGAGGAGGAGGGGGCACGTCGTCACATTCGAAAGGGAGGGAGGGAGGGATGGGATGGGTGTAAGGCGGGACTTCCGGTGTTCTAAGGCGGGACTTCCGGTGTTCTAAGGCGGGACTTCCGTTCCTCTAAGGCGGGACTTCCGTTCATCTAAGGCGGACTTCCTGTCCTCTAAGGCGGGACTTCCTGTAAAAGGGGCGTGGCACCTGTCAAAATGAGATTTGATGAAAGCCTGCCCCTAATGTCTCTCTATTGTCGATTGACTGAATGCAAGTGAAAGCACATGATTTCACAGCAGTGGTTTGCACTTTGGCTAAATCAATAGGCCAGTTCTTTAGAGGGTAATAATTGGTTTTTTGTAAGAATCCAAAATAAAAACCAGGATGTTTGGAAAAGTCATACTGAAACATCATTGATCTGTTTAACAGCACCTGAGAAATCTTTGAAAAAACTTAAAGTTTCAGCAGAGGGTTTAGTCATTTTAACTTCAGCTGTCAGTTTTTTTGCCTATTTTGTCACATGATGCTTACAGTAATTAGTGTCGATGTAGTACGGTATGTAGACGTACTCTCCGGATTTGAACCACTTGCAGCCTGTGATGGTGCACGGGTCTGCATTCCTCTTTAAGATTTTTGGCATAGCAATGTCATCATATCGCTTTGGCTCTGCGACACAGCAAATGACAGACAAAACACAGGAATGCAAAAACAAGACTGCAATTTTAAATTCATCTGACATCAAAACCATGCGTATTTGTTGTTATTTTTAAGGATTAGAGTTAAAATGATACGTTTTTCTCATTATTATCTGCTGGGTGTTTTGTTTTGTGAGCTTGTGTCACCTTTGTCAGCTTGTGGTTGTGGGATGCTTTTAAAGATATCCATAAACTCTTCTGAGAAAGAAATGTTGCCAGAACCTTTGGTTAAATTTATGCCTCTGCTGTGTCAGATAAATTGATCTTTGTTTCAAACTCACTGGGATACTGAGCAGGTTCTACTACAGACTCTGGAACACAGATGGAAGAAAACTGCGTCATTTTGGTCTTTTACATGTTGAAACTTTTCTTTTTTTAAAAAAATAAATACAATCAAAACAAAGAACAGCCTTTAAATCTTGGGTTTTGTCTAAGCTGTGAGGTGAATCAGTAAAACGAACTGATCCCATCATAAACTTACCGTGTCGACAGTTTCCACTGAGTTGAAGAGAAGGGAAAGAAAAACCGGGATCATGATGAAGGTCCTGAAGCTTCATCGTGACACGAAAAGAAAATATGTTTTCTTTCTGTTTCAGTTTGAAAGCATGTGAACATGATGAAGAAAACAAATGGGAGTTAAAGAAGAGTCAGAGAGCCGTTTACCTGACGGAGCAGCTGAGGCTCAGATCCCGTCTGACACAAGAAACTGCTGACCAAGCTTTTTATATCCATCATTAATCCAGATGGGACAATCTGTTCCCAAAATAAACCAGTGCTGTTACAAGTTGCAGGTGAAGTGCATCACTGTTTGGTCCCGTCTTTGCACAATGTAGCAGCTTTTAACAACATGCAGCTCACGTGAACATAGAAGCAAATCTATTTTTACAAAAATACAAAATGGAAAAAACAGAAGTCCAACTGAAAACAAAATGCTTTTAGCTCTTCCAGATGAGAAAGTGAAATAAATGTTGGGCTGTTTTCTCCCAGGTGATTTTAAATCTCTTCTGAAAACTCGTTTGTTTTCCTTTTCTTTTAATCCTTGGAGCTGGAGGATTAGGGCGATTCAGTCAATATTTCTTCTGCTTTCATTGCTTATTTTATCCTGTCATTGTTATTTTGCCTATTCTTTCATTGGAAGTAGTAGAGTTGTTATCGACTAATAACATTCTAGAACATTTGTGCAGGGAGGTCATGATATTGACCACATAAAGAACAGAAATATGTTTATATTATGACACAAAGCACACTGGCATTTTGTAAGTCAGTGTTTCTGTATCTCAACTAACAAATTAAAAGCTACATCCTTTGTAACAGGAGTATCCATCACAAAAGTTTCATCACTTACAGCACCAGAATGTAACTTTTCTAGAAAAAATATTTTTACATACTTGTTAATATTATCATTATGTTCTGACAGTATCACATAAACAGATAATCTGTGGAAAAATCGAGATCCTCTGCAGAAGCAAATCAGAGGCAGTAGGAGGGTCTTAGCGCTGTCCATCACTCTCATCCTCTTGCTTTTTACAAAACTACAGGCTATGCTGGCTCACCGCAACATAGCCTGCTAGTTAGCAAAGCCACAGATTATGGTAGATAAACAGGTTTTTTTGTAACTTGGAGTTGCTTTTCAATCAATAGCAGATTTAAAAGAGTACAGGAGGATGATTAGCAGCGCTAAGCCCCTCCTCCTGGCTCTGATTGGTGGTTTTTGACCAGGAGAGGAACATTTCTTCAGAGGGCAATGGCAGGAGGAAATAGGAGTTGATTTTTTGTTTTCATTGCTCATCTGTCTCACAAGTCACAACCATGTTTATTCTTACTTCAAAATAAAGTAAGAATTAACATTTTATTGTATCTAAACTCATTTAAAACTCTGATTATGGTTAGCATAAGAGCACAAATATAGTCTATGAATATATACTTTTATTTATCTCACCTGCTTTACATTATTTTAGCATTTAATTTTTAAACAACTTCATACTGAAAGTGTGGAGGCTTTTATTTTGTGGTGCTGCACTAAGGAAACCCTGATCTTTGTCCCAAATGTCCAACTGTTACAGAGAGAAAGAAACATTGATGTTGGAATGATCAAATTTTATTTGGTACTTGATTGAATGGATTACATGAATTACAATACCATTAAATTTCAGAAAAACATGTTGGTCACAAGAATAAAACATGTTGGATGAGAACTTGTAACATTATGTAGATAAAAACCTTTTTAGTCCAAATGTAATTGGGGAACTTTTACATTTCACATTTCCATAGATTGTACATTCTTGAATAATTGCCTTTTATTTAGATATTTTATACCAGTCCAGTCCATCTTTCCATCTTACACAGTTTTTATGTCACACATAATTTACTTAACCAAAATTCCCCTTAGATTTATCTTCAATTGAAACATTCCTTTCCATTTTTTATAGCAGATGCAAAAAAAGCCAAACCATAGTATAAAAAAAACCTTTTTTGATAAGAAATCCTTCACCAATAAGCAGCAATATGTATTCTGACATTAACAGATTGAGATGTAATACCCAAAAATCTGTTTCTTCAGCAACTGTCTTCAGCAGTTATGTAGTTAAGTAGTTAAATGCAGTAAATGAGACAGCAGAGGAAGAGTTTCTGTAGCTCTGAGATTTTGAGAGAGGAGCAGGTCAGAGCCGAAGGTCAGCTGGCGAGCTGAAGTTTCTCCTTCATGGTGTTGAAACTTAAGCTGAGAGAAAAAGTACCGTAAGTCATACAGCTGCTGGAAATGCTAGAGAAATGTTTGAAAAGATCAATATTTTACTCACAGCATTCGTAGAGCCTGTTGATGCGGGCGATGTCGTTGACGCTCATCGATAAGGCTCTTCCAAAGTTGAGGGAAGGATTAGCTTTGGAAAGGAGAGTCGGTTGGCCGTTTCTGGAGAAGGCGGTCCTGGAAGAAGGAGGAAGTGATGAACAAAATGCATCTGCAGTCACAGTCAGACTGAAAACAGCAAGCTGTGTGTAACACAATAGAAGGTATTTTTGAAGCCAAGACTCACTTGGAGTAATGCATAATGGAGTTGAAGTCGTAGGGAGTGCCCTGGTTGTTAGTCTGCACCTTCTCAAAGATGTGTTCCTTCCCTGATTAAGAAAAAAAGTTAACTTTTTAAATTGTCACCTTATTTCAGAAAATGTCACTTTTACATTGCAATAGATAAAAGTAGAACATGAGGCAATGTGATCTTACAGTTTAAATGTCAGTTTCCAAACTTCCCACACAAAAACCTGCTGAGTTCTCTGATTTAGGTCATTTGGAAAGTATTAAGTTCCCTATGAATGGCTGAATGGATCTGAATGCAAATAGTTTTTTTTTTTCATTTGTGTCCAAATGTGCAAAATACAGAAATGTATGACTTGTTTAAAATACTTCTGTTTTCAGATCTAACCAAGATGTTCTGCAGATAGAAGCATTAAGCCACGGTTGTGTGACTGAGCCGACCTGGGATGATGTTCTGGGTGAGGACCTGGACGAAGGAGTCTCTGTCAGAGCGGACATGTTCGTGGTGGAAGCCCAGAGCGTGGTTGATCTCATGCCGCACCGTGGAGTGATGCATGCAGCCATTTTTCCTGAGAGACACAAGTTGTTGTCCGCCTTGACGGCCCAGGTAGCACCAGCACCTGACGGGGAGATCAGGAGGAAATCAGTGGAAATGTGTGGAAGTAAAAGTCACGGTATGTGACTGAGTTCCTACCCGGATCCTGAGTAGAAGTGAAGGAAGTCCCTTTGCCGTGTTGAAGTCCTCCAGACAAAGCGAATGCAGGTCGAGGCGTGGAAGCTCACCAGGTCATTGATGATGAT